GGACTTGTCTGAAGTTTTGTAAATTTCCCTGAAGATTTGCAAAATTGTCCTTATAGAATGATCTGAAAATATTTTAGCTAGAAGTTTTGAAAATTTCTTTGAACATTAATCTGAAGATCTAAAATGTTCTGAAGTTTTGTAGTTCTCTTCTCAAGATTCTGAAGCTCTAAAAAAATCATAGTAGGCTCTTAGACCTGCTATCCGGCATGATTATTCTTACATGTATCATACATGTTTCGTATTATATAAACACTATTTTGTTGACCATGCCACGATCAAAGCCATTACGGTATTTTTCGGCCAATCACACTGCACACTTAATCTAGCTCGGTAAAATCTCCAACAGCCGATTACCTCGGCATTTACTTTCGCTGATATATCTGCAAAATATCTGTTTGTTAGCTGATTTCTCAGAAAAATGATATTTGTTAGCTGAGTCTCGGCAGTTGTTTTATTGAATCTCAGCAAAATAAATTGCAGAACTACTCGGCTGTTGGAATCTCGGCGAAAAAATTTAAGTATGTGGAAAATAAAAATCAGTCAAATCATACACAGGACAAAATCCGAACATTGCATCCGACAAAATTATCGAGCAGTTCGCTCGAATCGGACCAACAAATCAGATAGTCTAAACGTACCGTAATATCCGGGATTGGTAAACATTCTGGATCTGTATTGAAAACCTCCAATCCGAAGACAAGGAAGTTCGGAACCGGTTCTGATTCACGAATGTATCTAGGAGGAACAGATACTAAAAAGGTGAAGATGTCTTGCTAGAAAACCAAGACCAACGCATCGAAACAGTTTCTGATTTCTGAATGTCAGTTATCACCAGCAGCAGCAAAATCACGACCGCTTGGGGTTACAACTATTGCCACCGACCGTACTTCTACCTTCTACTGTGGGTAGGATTGCACCCATTGGTTGGCTCTCCTTCCCGGGTGGCTCGTGGCCGATCGTCGTCCTCCTGCAGGATACGTTACCCTGAACGGTAGCCACTTGCTAACTTGTATTTGATCTTTGCAATTACATAACGATTAAGGAACTATGCTGTTGCTGCTGCTGCTGCGCAGAAGCACAATCTACATGCCGGTGCCCATTCAAATAAAAAAAATACCTTACCCGAACGATAACCCAAATGATAGAACTATTTCAAAAATGGTTTGGATGATACCCTGAACAGGTCGTTAAGCAACATAACCATACAAATTTAATTAGGGCCGGGCTGCGATCGTATTTGCTCCAAATAGTCCTCCTATCAGATTAACTTTTTTGCATTAAAATTTTCAATTAAACCTGCCATTCCAGCAGACTTATTTTTGACATACAAGAAATCAACATTGACATTTGGTGAATTTTCACTTAAATTTGACAGATGGAATATTTTCAAATAAACCTCCTATTGCACCAGACTTATTTCTGGCAGACCAGGAATCAATTTTGACAAACACCTTCTTGAAAATCGGATGATCAACAACAGAGGGATTTTCGAACATCTTAAGCTGTGTTTCATTTGGAAAATTTTCACTTAGATTTGACACTTGAAAATAAATTAAGATGTTCGAAAATCCCTCTGTTGTTAATGTGCCGATTTTCGAGAAAGCGTCTGTCAAAATTGATTCCTTGTCTGTCAGAAATAAGTCTGCTGGAATAGCAAGTTTATTTAAAAATTTAAAAATAAGTAAAAATTCACCAAATGGATCACATTTGGCACTTCGAAAATTAATTATAATGTTCGAAAATCCCTCTGTTGTTGATCATCTGATTTTCAAGAAGATGTTTGTCAAAATTGATTTCTGGTCTGTCAGAAATAAGTCTGGTGCAATAGGAGGTTCATTTGAAAATATTCCATAAGTAAAAATTCACCAAATAGAACACAGCCTTAATTTATTTTCGAAGTGTCAAATTTAAGTGAAAAATTTACAAATGGAACACAGCCAAGGGCTGTGAACCATTTACCGAGTTAAATTTAACTCGTGGTTAAAAGTGACGTTTCGAAAGTTATTTTCTATGTTCGAAAATCCCCGTGCTGTCGATCGACCGGTTTTCGAGCCAAGGTTGTCAAAATTCAACTTCTTGTCTGTCAAAAGTAACCACGCTCGGATAGCAGAGTTAGGCTCTGAACCATTTGGTGGATTATTTTAACTTTTGGTTAAAATTTGACAGATGGAAAGTTATCGATTGACCCTGCTATCCGAGCTTGGTTACTTCTGACAGACAAGAAGTTAAATTTTGACAACTTTGGCTGAGTTCTTCTCGAAAACCGGTCGATCGACAGCACAGGGATTTTCGAACATAGAAAATAACTTTCGAAATGTCACTTTTAACCACGAGTTAAATTTAACTCGGCAAATGGTTCACAGCCTTAATCGATAACTTTCCATCTGTCAAATTTTAACCAAAAGTTAAAATAATCCACCAAATGGTTCAGAGCCTTAAACTATGTTAATCATCGATAGAGTTTCTACTTGCTGCAATTACGGCCTCCACACGCTTCCGGAATGCACGGCAGGTTCTAATTATGTAGTCTGGATCCATTTCTCTCCAGGTACGGGTCAATGTTTGTCTGAGGCTTGCTGTACTAGGGTGGCGTTTAGAACAGGCCTTGGCCTTCATGACGCGCCATATTGAGTAATCTAGCGGATTAAGATCGGGGCTGGATGGCGGCCACATATCCTTCGCCCAGAACGGAAGATGTTCTTGCAACCACTTCTGAGTGCGGTTCGAGGTGTGGCACGGAGCCCCATCTTGTTGAAATACAACATTTGGCTTCGGACCGTACTGTTCTTTGATCCACGGAAGAACATACTTACTTAAAATCCCGAGGGGGGCGACATATCTAAATCTCAAGTCTATATGCTCAACAAAGCTCACACTAGCGAATCAATCTTCGAAAAATCTTCTTTCATTTCTCGCATCTACTTGCATCGCGCATCATCTTTTTGCAGGAAATCTTCAGAATTGTCGTCAATCTTCTTTCTATCTACTCAGCGTGCGCGCAGCTAGCCACAGCAAAACACAATATTTCCTGCATCGTAGATAGAGTCGTCCCCCTCGTAAAATCCCGATGTAGACCTCCGTGTTGACCTTGTCGCCTTCTGGAATGAACATCGGGTCCATTTTTTGCCATCGGAAGCCACAAATCCAAACACCATAACGCTAGCAGGATGCTTGGTCAGATACACGTTCTTGTGCTCGTTGGCCACGTCTTTTACCGGAAAAGAACTAATATATCGGTCGGTTCTGGAATTTGATACGGGATCGACGGTAAACATGCTCTCGTCGGTGAACAGGATTACCGGATTTTTTCGCTTAAGGAAGTTCAAGTATTTCTTGCATCGTTCGACTCGTAGCTCCCGGATGCGGTTGGTAATCATGTGAGTTTTTTTTTACCGTGCCCTCGACTTCGCCACGCAATCTTCCTATACGATCTTTCGTGCCGTAAAGTCACTGATCCCGTGTTCCTTTGCCATTTTCCTTATTGAACGCACTGGATTCACCCGAATCTTCCGAGGGGGACGACTCTATCTACGATGCAGAAAAGATTGTGTTGTGCTGTGGTTAGCTGCGCGCACGCTGAGCAGATAGAAAGAAGATTGATGACGATTCTGAAGATTTCCTGCAAAAAGATGATAGTCGATGCATGTAGATGCGACAAATGATAGAAGATTTTTCGAAGATTGATTCGCTAGTGTGAGATTTGTTGAGCATCTTAACTTGAGATTTAGATGTGTCGCCCCCCTCGGAATCTTCCTTTTGATAGCAGCGAAAGCCCTCGGAACCCGAGCTGACATCGGGCGACCAGTGGCTCCCTTCGCGGATAGTTGCCTTTTCTTTTCTCGGTCTAAAACCCTTTTGACGGTCCACTGGGACACTCCCACGGCGATTGAAATGTCTTTTTGCGACATTTGCGCGTGGGACAAATCACGAACACGCTGCCACTTCGTCATGGTGCAACTGTCAAACTAAGTAAATCATTTTCTTTTATACACAGCCTACTACGGTATGAGCTATAGGTTACGTGCATGCAAAGAAAACCAAGGCATTGTATGCACAGGTGAAACGGGAACCTTATTTATACGATGGTGCAAACATTATCACGCTTACGGTATTTGAGAATATGGTTGCCAGTAAGCATGTTTTTTTCGGTTGAACAACTCGGCCGACACGAAGAAACACACAGAAATACATTCCGACACACAACAACACACATGAAACACAATTGACGAGTGCACGGATGGATTTGAGTTCACTCACTCGACAAAAAGTGACACAACAGCGGGGCCCTGTTTACTAAAAATGAACACATATGTGTTCATTTTTAGTAAACAGGGCCCCGCTGTTGTGTCACTTTTTGTCGAGTGAGTGAACTCAAATCCATCCGTGCACTCGTCAATAAGCACAGACACAAGGTGACAGAGTAACTTACCCCATCGAAATAAATATAGTAAAGAATGAATAAATTTGAAAATTAAAAGAGGGCCAAAAACTGGCTCCCTTACACTTATAAATTTTTACCGAACTTTCGCTAAAACTTTCGCCCTCAGTTCAAAAGCTGTTTCACTAAATTTTAATGTCAAAATGCTCTCAGCCTTGTTTAAATAATCGAGTTTTGGCATTGTGGTGAACAGAAACACTTTCCAGAAACATGATTTGACATATGAAGTCATCACAAGAGACGGCGATTTGTTCTCAAAAGACAACAGCAGTAAATGAAGCGGATTTTTAGCAAGAAATTCGATATGATTAAACTGAGTTTAATGACAAATTGATTAAATTTTAAGCAAAATGATAATAGTTTACTTTATGATACTCTATGACCAGGGTAGTCGAGATATTTTCCAACCCAACAAATCCTGAAACAACCGCCACCTCAGGTCCCCATGGTCTTGCTTTACAACTGTGCCCTTGCTAGCTAAGCTAAGCAAAGCTCCAATAATGCGAAGATATTCAACGCCACTTATCTAAACTGTCTCTCTCCCGCTTTCGTCCCATTTCAGCATCCCTCTCGGCCATCGGTACCCCGATCGGTTGCCTTCTCAGTGGCTACGTGATGGACAACTTTGGACGCAAGAAGGCTCTTCTGGTGACGGAAATCCCCATGATCATCGGCTGGATGGTGATTGCCTGTGCAACCAATGTGGAAATGATCTACGCTGGTCGTGTTCTGACCGGTTTTGGGTCCGGTATGATCGGTGCTCCGGCTCGTGTGTACACGTCGGAAGTGACACAACCCCATCTGCGGGGAATGTTATGTGCCCTGGCCTCGACGGGTATCAGTTTAGGCGTGCTGTTTCAATATACTCTCGGAGCGGTGACCACGTGGAAGACCTTGTCGGCGATCTCTGCTTGCGTGCCGGTTTTGGCCTTTGCGCTGATGATATTCATGCCGGAAACTCCAAACTATCTGGTGTCCAAGAACAAGCCGGAACAGGCGCTGAAGAGTTTAGCTAAGCTGCGCGGATCGACGTACAACGTGGAGAAGGAAGTGAATCAGCTGCAGTCGTTCGCACAGAAGAGCAATCAAAAAAAGAAATTGTCGTCGAAGGAAACGATTCAAGCTCTGCTGCATCCGTCCTGTCTCAAACCGTTTGGAATTTTGACTCTCTACTTTATGATGTACCAATTCAGTGGTGTAAACACGATCACCTTCTACGCGGTGGAAATTTTCCAAGACTCCGGTACCACAATGGACAAGTACACGTGTACGATTATGCTTGGAGTGGTTCGGTTAGCGTTCACAATTTTGGCCGCGATTTTGCTCAGAAGGTGTGGTCGTCGTCCGTTGACGTTCATTTCCGGAATCGGATGCGGTGTGACCATGATCGGCTTGGGAACGTATCTGTACTTTAAGAAAAGCTGGGAGATGGCTGATCCGCCGATTGCGCCCACTGCAACGTGGTTCCCAGTGGCGTGTATCTTCCTATTTACCGTCACTTGTACGCTGGGTTTCCTGGTGGTGCCATGGGTCATGATCGGCGAGCTGTACCCGATGAAGGTGCGTGGACTCGTTGGTGGATTCACGACCTGCATGGCGCACACGTTCGTGTTCATCGTCGTCAAGACGTACCCATTCCTGGTACATATGCTGGAGAGGCACGGTGCGTTCATCATGTACGGATGTATCTCGTTTCTGGGTAAGTCGAAATCACGAGCAAATTAATTTCAATCCAAATAACATCGATTCTTTTCGGTCAACAGGAACGGTCTTCTTCTACCTCTGCCTGCCGGAAACCAAGGGCAAAACGCTGCAGGAGATCGAAGACTACTTCTCGGGACGTATCAAATCGCTGAAGAAGTCCAAACAGCTGGAAGCCGAGGGCCAGCAGCTGAACAACAACAGCAAACCCCAGCTGCTGACGGTGGAGAAGAACAAACTGCTCCCGTAAAAAAGAGAGGCTCGGCTGGCCGGCCTTTTCCCCCTTCGTTTTTATTCTTGCTACATCTCCAGTCAGCGTGCCATACGAGAAAATGGGAAGTATTTTTAATGTTTTGCTTTAGTGATACTCTTCTGTGTCCCTGCCCAACGATCTGCGCTGCGATCCCCACTGAGAACGGTTTGAGTAGGATGACCACTTTTTTTTTGTTTTGTTCGTCAATCACCTGAGTTGGTCTATATTAGATTTTACGCGTAAGTTTCTATTTCTCATTTCATAGTATTATTGATGCACTTGACTCTTTGAAAGACTATGGTAGCAAATTTGTTTTCTTTCTTTTGTGTTTTACCTCTTGACAATAATTGTATTAAACTCACATTATGAACATCAAAATTTATTTACAATTGGGAAACCAAAATACCACGCACACGTTTTTTTTTTTTTTTTTTTTATTTTATTGAAAAGAAGGGAAATTTTCTTGAGAATGCCTGTGCGTAAGAATGAGAGAAGGATAACTGGACGAGACGGAAAATATTGAAAACAACATCCTAAATGCTAGAATAAGTAACTCAGGAAAAAATATAAACCCAACACCAACCACAAGTGCTTTAAAGACAGGAGGGAACATACCCAAGCGTGTGCGGTTTAAATGTGAAACAATTAGGATTTTGGTTGAGATCGAGTGAAGATGCCTATTGTGAATTGCGATATTGTCACGAATCGCGATTCTATTCTTTATTGTGATAGCGGATTTCAACTTACAACCGAAGGAGTAATGATTGTATTTACTCAATCGATAAAAGAAAAGTGAAACTGATTAGCTAGGATATAGTACATAAAATAGGACGATGTAATGAATAATGCAGAGCCTTGCATATATATGCTTAAAACAGTAGGAAGGAGAATGTAATGATAGATACGAAAAATGTTCCATGCGACAATTACCTCGGTTGGGCTCCGAATGCCGAGACAAGTAAGTTTATGATAAACGGATTGAAATTACCATCATTTTTAAAAAAATATTATAACTGTTTATGATTTGAACATCCGAATGCCCGTCAGCGGTACCATAGTTTAGTTTTTATGTCCGGGATAATTTGTCTCCAACATGAAGAATAGGATTTTCCTATACATTCTTAATATCTTCTTATTCTTCTTCGTCGCATTTCAAGCTACTTGCTTGTCGCATATTAGCTCATTGCGTGCCCTCAACTTAGTGCTCTTTGAGCATTTCCACAGTTGTTAGTCGAGAGCTTGTTAAGCCCCCGCAATCTGACCGTTTTTAATCTGAACACTCTTAACCCCCGTTAGCTATAGTCGCTATATTCATAGGCTGGCGGATAGAATTTCGATCTATCAAAAAGCGGAACCAATTCAATCCCCCTTATTCTGCGAGTCACGTGACTCTCTGTCACCGGTGAGGTGACAATTGTTACCTCGTGTGAGGTGACTTTCCATGTAAATCAAATGGAGAGTCACCTCACACGAGGTGACTATTGTCACCTCACCGGTGACAGAGAGTTACGTGACTCGCAGAATAGGGGGGAATATATTTTAGGACAACAAATGAAAAGGTACTATCAACTTTTATAAACAAAACGTTGATTATTCCTTCCTCGCCAATCGAACGCAAATTACCGGCATCATCGGATAGGGGATACTTTCCCCAACCCAAAGATGATGTTAGTTTGCGTAAGCGAGCCTTGAGTCACGAGAAAAGGGTTTCCGAAGTTTTGTTCGCAATAGCTGATGTGCTCTTTTCTGTTGTTGGTCGTGATTTGCTCGATTGGTTCCGCTATTTGAAAGCTCAATTGGTTCCCGAGATTCTATCCGCCAGACTATGAATATAGCGACTATATTCCAAAGTTGTTAATTGAGAGCTTTCTAATATAGTCACTATATTCATAGTCTGGCGGATAGAATCTTGGGAACCAATTGAGCTGTCAAAAAGCGGAGCCAATCAAGCAAATCACGACCAACAACAGAAAAGAGCACATCACTTATTGCGAACAAAACTTCGGAACCCCTTTTCTCGTGACTCAATACTCGCCTACACAAATTAATACCATCTTTGGGTTGGGGAAAGTTTCCCCTATCCGATGATGCTGGTAATTTGCGTTCGATTGGTGAGGAAAGAATAATCAACGTTTTGTTTATAAAAGTTGATAGTACCTTTTCAATTGTTGGTCTACAGTATATTGAATTGGCTCCTCTTTTTGATAAATCGAAATTCTATCCGCCAGACTATGAATATACCGACTATACTTTCTAAGCCCCCGTAATCTGACCGTTTTATATCTGAACACTCTTAAACCCATCAAGAAGCATACATGGATTTGTTATCAAGAAAAAATGATTTGTTATCTTTTTAATATCCTTCATATACCATTTAGATCTCATTTTTGTTATGATTATTTTTAACTCGACCACACGCACTTTCGAGAGAAAATTTAAAATTTTGTATTAATCTACTGGTTACCCTAAAATGTTACGTCATTTATTCATCTACTGCACAGAGCAGTTCCTAGTAATTTAATGCTCTCTTTTTAACTAGAACCAATTGTTTAAATGATCTGCATTTCAAATATCTAAGAAATTTAAATAATTTAATAATAATACCAACTACTTACCACAAAAGGGAAGGAATGTTATTTCGACCACCGTTGTTACTAGAGACCGAGTTGACCTCTGCATCTCCACGGAAGGGATTCTTGTTAGTAGGAAGGGTAAATATGATCAGAATGTACCATGGTACATGATGTGATGGTTTGTTTACATCGCGACCAGTAGAACTCTATAATACGGAAGGAGCTTGGGATTGAACCCTTGATCTTCTGCTCATTAAGCAAAAACGGTCGCTGTGCCACAGACCTACTTATATAACCAAAACAATCGAGTTGCTGTTAAATTCCGGTGGCGACTTCAACGGTAACCGTTGTATCAGGTTCGACCGAATTCTATTAAGGGTTTACAGGCGAATATCTAAAAGCAGAATGCAACTACAACATAACGCCATACATGAAACAAACAAAACGAACCAACGCATTCTAACAAGGGGGCGAATTCTAGAGCAGGAACGAATGGTCATACATCTACCCCACTGTAAAAGTACCATCGAGATCTAGATCGAGATGCATACAATTTCGAATTTTTATATTGTAGAACGAAATGTTCAACCAAATGATTATGCCTTTGTGTGTGTGTGTATTCCCTCTAACCCCCACTGGCCGGCAGTGTTATTATGGAAGAACTCTTTTTTTTTCCTTTATCTAACGTCGGTCTCTGTTCCACAATCTAGTGTCAATTTCCGACGGACATCGATTGCCATCCATTGACGGCAACCGAATGTGCAGGAAGGCAGCTTCCACACCTGCGTAGGATATCGCACCCATTCACAACACACATGGGCCGGGACCAACGGCTTTACCGCCCTTCCGAAGGAAGAGCAAAGAACTCTCTCTACAATGTTGCATTTATGGTCACTGTAGACAGCTTTAGTCCGGGAGTTAGACGGTGATAGCTCTATTGCAGATCCAGCAACCCATTTCAGAATGTCTGGAGACTCACGCCCATTCCGAGGTTACTTTCACTTACAATAAGCCCCGCATGTATGTATTACCTCTATCAATTGGATATTAATATTACACACACACTTCCAGCTTCAAAATGTTCTTTTGAGTCCTGGCACGTATTTAGTTTGTTTTTTTTTTAATTGTAAAAAGTATTTGGACTGATCTCACCATGTTAATTTGATCCTCCAATCCATGGGTTACGTAGTTCCGAACACAAATGTGCTTGCACTGCCATGCCTGGGAGGATGTTCGCGTCTAGTGCTTTTCCTAGGAACCGTTCGCGGTCATCAGTTACACCTAGTCAAGTCTTGAGAGAGGCATTTTTCAGATTAGTCGCAATCTCCGACACTGTCAAGTGACCAGCAGCCGAACACTTTTGCAAGCAGAAAACTTGCTGATTCACGGCAACGTCTGCCACCGAATCACCACCAAAACTCGCGACGGACACATTATCAGCACTTTCCCGGGCTAATTCATAAATCGGACCGGATTAAAACTCGTCCACGGTGACGAACCTCTCAATAGACAACCAAATGATTATGCCTTTAAGCAGAAATCGTCGCAGTCATTAATTTATCACAATCCAAACAAGTCCGTCGTATTAAGAAATCACGTGCAAATTGGGCTTTCGAGCAGATATTGGCAACTAACTATACGCTAGTGCTCACGGAAAGACCTTTGTTCCTCCTGTTCGCATTTATTCAATAGCTTTGCCTCCGTACTGGTTTCGCTTCCATAATACGTTTACAATCAACTTGGAGCAGATAACGTGTACCACAACTTATTTCTTAAATTCTACTTTTCCGCAACACTTGCAACTTACTGGGGATTCTGCGGCTTGGACCATTCGACATTCAGAATCAGATGATCATAGCCGTGTCCGTTGAGAAGTTCAATCGCAGTAGCAGCATCGCGGCGGGATTTGAAATGAACGTAGGCAAAACCTTTGCACAGACCGGTGTTCTTGTCACGGGCCAAGAACATCTTACTGTGCGGCCCGATCTTCTTGACCAGCTCTTCCAAGTCGGCTTCGGTCATAGCTTCCGACAGGTTGGAAATGCGAATAGCAGTGGTATCGTCACGTCCCCTCAGGTTTCCGCCCATACCTGGCTTCTGGCTTTCACGCATACTCGGAGGAACGTACTTGCCACTCTTTGCTGTTGTTGGAGCCATCTCTTGTTGCACTGAAATTCAAAAATATAATTCATAAAAACGTATTTCTCTCTAAACAACTCTGAAGTCGGATAATCTTACCTGGTACGGCCGGTTTGGCCTTTCCTGCCTCGTACGTTGTGCCCTTGTACGGACACTGCACCGACCAATGTTCACCCTCGCAGATACGGCACTTGGCAATGTTCTTCAGCGTATCCAAAGCGTTGTCCGATTTTTGTTCTTCCTCCTTGTTGCTCACAAATTGCATGTAGGTATCTTCCGATACCATTGTGGTTCCTGGGCTCGGGCCCGGCTTGTCGCTCGTCGAATCACCGAACTTTGCCAAGTTCTTACGCCTGGCAATACTTTTCGGAACAACCAACCGGGTAATCTTGTACGTTCGGACCACTTTCACTTTTTTGTCATCCTTGTTGTACTTGTACTCGGTGACGACCTTCTGGCCATTCTCGATTATTTCGGTTGGCGGTGGTAGGGAGCCGGAATCCAACTCCACCTCATCGGCCCAGGAGGATTTGATTTCATCTAGAGCAGGCATTGTCTGTCCGGGGAAGGTAAGGTTGTTAACTCATGAATGACAGCTTGCTAAATGCTTTCGTGTCGGAATTGGTAGGATAGAACAAAACGTGATAGTCGTTTGTTTTCAATCTCGAAATTCACACCGAAAACAAGAGTAATTCAATGGAAACCACAATGCATGTAACGATTAACACTTACACTTGATTTTACAACTGTTTTACTGGTGATTCAGAAAGAAATGCTTGCACAAAATTGTAAAAATTTCACGTTTCGTGCTATCGTTTTCACCAGCACTACAAAAATGGCGGAGCGGATCGGTGACAGCTGTCAGTTCAGCTCGGCCATCAGTTTCTATCTGGTATAGAGGTATCGGTCAAAACAACCGACGCCATCAAATCCGGGAAATTATCTGAGAAATAATCAGAAATATTTATTGCAGATTATTTAGACTAACATTTGAAAAGAGAATCATATTTAAATACTTGGAATTCGAAAATCATCATACACTCAAAAATAAATTAAATCAACAAAACTTAAAAAGTATGCAAATTCTCACTTGGAAAGATGAAATGATTAAAGGCGTATAAGAGCTATATACACGGATAGAAATCTCCTTATACCTTTTGGCAAATTTCTATTGCTGATTATTCATAAAATGTATAAGTCAACTAATAAGCAGACGCCTTGCAAAAAGTTAATGAAGATCATGTGTGAAATGAAATGTATAAGCGGTCACTCATACCTTTCAAGCATTTTTATAGGACCTATGTGGTTCGTCTTATGGAATGTATAAGGCTGATGTTTTGGCAAAAATGTATAAGTGAAACACATGGATAAAATAATTGATTTTCGTTTCGTGTAGCTATAAGACACGCTTTTGAAATTCATAAGTGTTGTTCATAAATCGAGCCTTATGAAATTCTTAAGTCTATTTGCCTCAGTGTATGTTTTGGTGCAAGGTAAAACAACCAGATGCATAATAGAGTTGAAAAAAGTTATACGAGCAGTCGCGTCGTGTACTGACAAATTTAGAATAAACCTGCTGAATATATTTCACACAACTCTCTGCAATGCGATACAGCTCTTGAAACTGCCGAAAACATCAGCGGCGCTGGTAATCCATAACATATTTAAGCTCCATCCATGTAACATTAAGTGCGGCAAGGTGGCAACAAATGTAGTGCCTTCAAAAAATCATTCTTACTTTTCCGCAATGGACAACTGAAAATGATTTAGGTGTTTTCGAATTGACGAGCACAATTTGCGTGAATCATCCCTAATAAAAATAACCATAAAAGATAGCTTAACGACGTGTTCGAGGTATCATCCAAACCATTTGTGGGATAGTTTACCCCTCCGGGTTACAGTTCGTTTATGGTATTTGTTTATTAGGGATGCCTTCCTATAAAGTTATCTAGAAAAGTCTTATCTATTTTGTGCAACGCAGCGCGACATGTACCAAGCTTAATCATTGAGGAAAAGGAGAAGCTGTCAAATTAGCACCAGATAACCAGAGAAATCTCGCGTCACTTTTCAAATAGACCAATGTAACAAATGTAAACAAATCGAGTTAAGCGATACAAGCTATTGCTCTTCTATCATTGTATGTGATACAAAAACACCCATCCAAATTTCCTTTCATTTATTTAAAAAAAAAAAACATTGATCAAAAATTGTCCAATGTACAGTTTGATTGTTAAGATGGTTAATTGATTGTTACTTCGGTCATTCGGACTGCCTAACATGATTGGTGCTCATTTTCCAAAGGCGGGCCAATCTAAAGTTACACACAAAGAAAAATCGTTGCTCAAATTAAAAAATACATTGATAGAATTAAAAGTATGCATTGGTTCTTTTTGGTAGAAAGCGGTTCGCTGTCAAAACAAAAATAGGCCAACTGTCAAATCAAAAGTTGCCCGGCCACTGCTTTTAAAAGTTAAAACTTTCAAATTGAATTGTACTTCTGTCAAATGAAAAGCATAACAGTGTTTAAATTAAAAGCAGATTATTTTTGATTCAAAATAAACTTTTGGCCTGAAACTTTGGTATAGTTAGGATAACATATATGTCCTTTTAAATTTAAAAACAAATACTTTCATCATTATTACGTCCGTTTTCATTCCAAAATCTTATAATTTTTCACTTAAAAGTTTTTATTATTTGAAATAAATGTACAAAAATATGTTTATTGATATTTTAAACAATCAATATTAAATATATGATGTTGAATTTCCTTCTCCCGAGTGAGGAAAACTTCACATCGCATTGTACAGTGTCTCGCTCGCTCGCTCGCCCGTATGATCCCAGGAACTTTTTAAACTACTTCCAGTAGATTATGGATCAACTTTGATCGTGTTGCGGGTGGACTCCTCACGCTTCCCATGGTCATTCAGTGGCGAAAAAAAGATTTCGAATTTTAACGCTACTTCCACCTGTTTGCAGTCAGAAGTATATCCGTTCCAATTTGCTTGTCCAAGGTGTCAACAATCTGCTCAGCCTTGATTCCTTTCATCAGGAGTTTGCGTATCAGCTGTGCTAATTCCGTGAACAATCGGACCTGGTGCTAAGATAAAACAAATAAAACAAATTCATAATAAACCTTATCAAATTTCAACTCACCTAACATTCCCTGCTGCAGCGGAAAATCATAATGTTTCCAAGTTCTCGCCTCCTTCTTGTGGTTGCTTATGACGTCAAGTAAAATTTGGCGGTAAAAATAGGTTGTGCTGCCAAGGCTGCCAAAAACTTCATTATGATGAGGTATTTTTGACAGTTGTACAACTTTTATTTTCAAAAATGAGCTTTTAACATTACGAGTCGAATGTGAAAGAAATATTGTCAAACCAAAAGAAATAATTTTCAATTTGAGTTTTTCGTAGTTAAAACTACGAATTTAGGGAAGCTTTCAAATTGAAATTGCATTATTTTTATTACAACAATTTTTGTTTTTTGTGTGTAGGTACTATACTCTGAAATCTGTGAAAGGGAATCTAGTATCATGTAGACAAAACGTCCAATGTAACACTCATTGATTATGTCATTGAGAAAAATCGTCCAATGTAACATGTCCGATGTACAACTCGACTTGTCAAAACGTCCTATGTGGTTTTTTCTATGTTGTAGCATGAAATTCAAAGTAAAATTGTGATTTTACCGTTTCTTCTGAATTTTCAACGTTATTATACACTGACTACATTAAAAATCGAGGGGGACGACTCTATCTACGATCCAAAAAATATTGTGTTTTGCTGTGGCTAGCTGCGTGCACGCTGAGTAGATAGAAAGAAGATTGATGACGATTCTGAAGATTTCCTGCAAAAAGATGATGAGCGATGCAAGTAGATGCGACAAATGAAAGAAGATTTTTCGAAGATTGATACGCTAGTGTGAGATTTGTTGAGCATCTAAACTTGAGATTTAGATGTGTCGCCCCCCTCGTTAAAAACAGTATTGCAAAATGTATTGTTTTTAAACAGTTAAAATAATAATCTGTCGAAATTCAACTTCGATTTTCTCAAAATGGTGGATATGTTACATTGGTCTATTTGAAAAGTGACGCGAGAAATTGACAAATCCATGTTTCAATCGACCACCGTGACGCTGCAATTGCAGCGGTGATAAGTTCGAAATAATGTGTCAAACTGAATACATTTTTGAAATTTCAACCAAAAAACTATTATTTTCTATTTATTCTAGCGAGTTTCTGTGGAAATCAAAACATGATCCGAGCAAAAAAGTAGTACTCGTAATAATGGTATATAATGCTGAATTTTATCGTGCTTTGTTTCGAAAATATCTTCCAAATAAACAAACATCATCCAAATCACCCGAATCGTCCACCGACTAAATCTATTGTCACTTAAAAATTAATTTCAGTCGGTGTATTAATCAGCAGATTAAATCGTTTTTCGTCTGGTGCTACACAGAGCAATCGGCCTATTTAATAGTTTTTCGTCGATTGATTAAGTCGGCCAACTTTGTCTGTTGTTTAATCGGCAGATGAATTCAAACCTTAACATGTTTTCAGTAATTTATAAGTCTTGAAGTAGCTTTTTATTTGAGAACAATGCATTACAAAATAGTTTTATGCATTTTGTACAAGATTCATCCATGCTGACAAGAAATTTTCATGAAATTACATTGAAATTAAATAATTTTGCAAACAATCAATGAAATTTTCAAGGACTGTCACAGACTTATCACCGTCGGTTAGTGCTTATTCCTGCCACCAGGCGCGCATGAGTTTTAGTTGGATTTCTCAATAACAAACCAACATTTTTGGTTGGAGCGAAAGTGCGGATTACAAAGTTCACAGCAGCCCCCGATCCCGCGTTGCAGTCCTGTGATGACAATGATTTTCCCGGGAGCAAGTACCTGAATCTTCCGTGTTTTGTTTTCACTGGGTCGTGAGGCACTCACGCGAGCACGCATGTGATGTGAGTGACTAAACGTCAAAATTTGCAGGTGACAAAAACCAGAAAACACAAGCGGCGTTCTTAAAACTTTCGTTCAAGTTGGTGTTTTTCCTCAAATAAAAAATTGTTTTTACTTTTGATTATTATTCGAAGCTGCTTCCAAGATGGTCAAACTAACGCCCGATTTAATTAATCAATCAATGCAGTACATAAACCCGTGTCGGGATCGTGAGCTAGATCTACGCGGTAAGTTTTAACTACACATTAGTCCCGTCGCAAAGAGGTTAGCTTTCTAACATTGTTTAATTTTTTTTCAGGATATAAAATACCTCAGATCGAAAATATGGGAGCAACGTTGGATCAGTTCGATACGATTGATTTTTCAGATAACGACATCCGGAAGCTCGATGGGTTCCCTCATTTACCTAGACTAAAGTGCTTGCTGTTGAATAACAACCGGATAGTGTAGGTTTTGATTAGTTTTTGATCTAAGTTAAGCTAGACTGAACGTTGTTATTTTTAGGAGGGTCAGCGATACCTTGCACGAGTCCCTACCAAACCTGGAGAGTATCATTATGACGGGGAATAACATCCAAGAGCTTGGAGATTTGGAACCTCTTACAAAAATGCCAAAGCTGCAAACCCTATCACTCTTAACGAATCCCGTCTCGACCAAGCAGTACTACCGGGAGTATGTTGCATTTCGGTTTCCCAATCTGCGGCTGTTGGATTTTAGAAAGATCAAACTAAAGGAAAGGGAAGCGGCCAAGGAGCTGTTCAAGAGCAAGAAAGGAAAGGAGCTGCAGAGGGAGATTATGCGGAAAGCGAAACTGGCGATGCCGGCCGCGGACAAGCCAACGGTGCACAATGCTACTCCTGCCGATATCCAGAAGATCAAAGAGGCTATCAAAAGGGCAACGAACCTGCATGAAGTGGAACGGCTTACCAGGATGCTGCAGTCCGGCCAGATTACGGGAGATTTCGGCTTCAATGGTAAATTGGGAGATTTCCGTATGCTAAGCTAGTTTGGATTCTGGTTCGTTTTAGGTTCGGCGATGCAGCCCTGAGACGTAGGGATAGATGCGACACAGGTTCCAAAACGGTTGATTTCCTATCCTTTGAGGCAAAAACTGATGCTCGTTTTTTTGCAGATGGCTCTCTAGGTGGACTAGCAGTGGATTTAACAATAACGAATAACACTTTCTCTTTGATTCTAGCATCTGCAAAAGTAACTAATCGAATGTGTTTCATTTTTTTGTTTGTTCGTTGCAGGTAATATGGAAACCGATTGAAAGTTTAGGCTTCGTTTCCAAACACTAATCGATCATAAGAACAGATACAGATACACACAGAAATGTCGTTTCAAGCTTTGTAGAGGTCGAGAAGGTTGAGATGAATTAAAATATTGCATTTAAATTTTCTTGGTTTATTTTGAGATTACTCCGAATGGCATGTTCCTGCTTTATGAGAGGTTTGCACTTCAAAAATAGTCGAAATCCGCCATCTTCTTTCCTTTATTTAACGTCGATCTCTGTTCCGCAATGCAAATCACCGACGGACATCGATTGCCATCCATTGACGTGACCAGAGATTTTTATGCCTCAGAAAGTTCAGTAAACATGTCTGTTAAAGGCAAAAACTGGTTCATTAAGGTTCACAAATCGGGGGCTTTCGGAGAGTACGACTACCAATCATTTGACTGTACAATTAATCTTATAGCTTTATCCAACATAAGTAGTCTTCCACACAATAGATCGTTATCTAAAACTAGTATAAAATAGAATAATCGCAAACGTATCACAACACATCGATACGTTCGAACTACTACTAATCGACAGAAAAATCGCTCGCCCGTATTAAAAAGCATCATTCGTGAGCGCATTCGCCAGATCGTTGAGTCCATTCGAGAGTTGTAGCATTGCGGCTGACATGTTGGTCAGCGCCTGGGCGATGGCAATCTTGGAATCGTCCATCCGCCGCTTCTTCATCACGGATTCCAACTTCTCCGATGTTCGTTTCAAATCTTCCCGAAGCCGTTCATGGTCGCTGGGTCGAATAATTTTCGGCTTTAGAAATTCGCTGGTTCCCTCCAGTGCCGATGCGGTCATTTCCACATACTCCGTCGTAGTGACTGCGGCATGCACGGCCATGCTTTTGAGCTCTTCGGCGGTCGGTTTTCGAATTTCCAGTTCGGTGGTTACCGTCTCCTGGCTGTGTTCGTTCACGACAACGGGTTTTGAAAAGCTGGCTACGAACTCTTCGTCTTCCAGCGGATCATCGGAGTAATGTTCAATAACGATCTCTTCCTTCTGGACTCCGTTATCGTCCGGAAAGTATTCTTCGTGATCGTTTACCATTGATGCATCGATAGTCACCATTCCTTCCGCTCCGAGGGACTTGGTCCACTGATCCAGAATATCGTAACTGTTAGCTGCCGATAGAATTCGCACCTCCAGTGGATTGGGACCGATCTTTTTCGATCTACCTTCAACGACCAACCGGCACTTCCGCTTTAGATTAATGATCACATCAGCCCAGTATTTAACCCATTTAGCAGTCGATTTCATCGTTCCTCCGGGAATGTTGTTCAATCGATGTGTAGCCTCTATCCAAAACCTCTGGCGCTCCTTGTAATCCGTCTCGGAACTTTCATGTTTAGGTCGTTGATTGTACTCCTCGAATATTTTGACTAGTTCCTCTTTCTGTTCGTTGGATGCGCTTTTTGGCTTCTGCAGGAAGTAAAAAACACAATTTATGACACAAATCAAAACATACCAGAGCGGATGGATCTTACGTCCAGCGGCCCCATGGCGGAGGAACTACTGGAAGGAGCCCCTTGTTCAATATTGTCGAGTTCACTGGCTAGAGCGCCCACCGTCGTCGCGGCCACGGGCGGCGATGTAAATATTATTGGTGAACGTCGAAAGATTTTTCACGGGGAAACGGGATATCTCACACTCATAAACAAATTTTGCGGACTTTGAGCAGCGAGTCAGTGCTCACGGCGAGGAAAATGGAGCTTTCACTGCGGTGAAGACGCTGATGCGCTGTCGCGAGTTAGGGTGTAACCGCGAATGGCGTTCCGACAATTTTGAAGAGGCGGTGAGTGGTACCCGTGGTACCACATTCATTGAATAGTGTGTTTGAAATAGCGAAACTAGAAGCTAGTTCATTATCTTAGTAGTTTAAAATGTTGTTAATATGCATGAAGATAATATTTAGATTCCCAAATCATTCGATCTGTGAACGATGAGATAAAGTTCAGTTTTCAGATTCGTTACCGAATTCTCGGAGTCACCCGAGTGTGTCAGAGTGAGCAAATGGCCAGTGAAAAAAATATACAGGCGGGTGAGTACTCATCCGCAGGGATGCCAAATTTGAAGGTATGAAATTTTCTCGTTTTGTGAAGGATTTCCTCGAGATTTTCGAAGATATGAAAATATTTGTATGAAGCCAGGAGGGGCATAATCCCTAATGTCACTCAGAAGTAAAACAAAGGCAATTTTGACTTATTTGTATGCAAAATCGAGCCTCACCTTGGTTCACTCATTCGATGCATAATAATGAAATAGCAGTTCCGTGTATTATGGCAGTACAGTTGAAAACCGAAATAACCCACTAAGTAGCGACAATCGATTTACTGTCGTTATGTACGTTAAGTTCGCTACGCCAACACTTTGAACTGAAATTTTTTTTAGCAACAATTCTAAGTCACAAATAAGCATACATATTGAATAATTGCTGTATAACAGTGTACTATGCTGAATAAAAAAGGATGTGCTGAAAAAAGCTCATTGAGATCGATAGATGCGCCTTTATTCCATTGTTTGCTCTGATAGGATTAATTTACTTATTAAAAGCTTTATAAACGTTGACTGTCTTCCTGATTCAGAACAAGAAGTTTGATCTAATAACATGCTGAATAAGCGTAATTTGCACATAAATTGACGCTTTAATTCGACTGTTTTGAATTGATTTAATAACATGCTTTATTAGACGTCTAATATTTGTTTTCTATCTCCATTATTAGATTCCATTGCATTGCTTTACAAAATTTGCTGAATAAAGGTGAATACAGTCACCATAATAACTCTTATGCCACTATGCATCCATGTTGCAATCGCATGCTTTGTAAATGCTTTATAAACGACGTATTAGATTCATTATTCCACAATACTGATTCAGTTTAACAACAAGACGAAATCAGTAGAGTAGTGTTTACCATTTCCGCTTTCCAAGTAGAAGGTCGAGAGTTCAATCCCAAGCTCAACCCTTTTTTTAAATTTGTATTCTCAATCGTAATCATCGATCATATCACCCACGACAACAAATTTATTGATTTAGTTATCTAGATAACCCAGCATCCTTTCCTTGGGAATTGGAGAGGTGAAGAGGTAGAATTGGTCTCATGTAAAACAACGATAAATGAATTAATGATTCCCACTGGACCTTGGGACGATAGGGAGTGCTAATAGGTATTCAGTTTCAAGCAAGCTTTTATTGAATATTGAGCGGCCCATATAATGTATTCTAGGATGGCTCAGATGGCAAGGCAAGCGGCTGGTGATCGGAAGGTACATGGTTCGAAACACATGCAACGGACATGTATATGTATGTAAACAAATAATCTAGATCTGCGTTGGTGCGTGCTTTGTCAGAAATAATGAAAGCAATCATTAATGAGAAAAGATAATTCTGTCTTTCGCTACCGTTCTTTTATTTTCGGGTTAATTTTCCTGCACTCCTAATTGAAACTTCACACTTCACATGATAATCAAGCGTATACATCATCGCTGTTTAAGGAAGCAAAAATGTCCAATCAACGCTGAATAATAATAAAAAAATGATCGATTATGCTCTGTTACATCTCATGGAAGTCGAATTAAAGTTTCTCGACATACCTTAACCCAACACCATGTTGTGGTTGTTTAAATTCTCCAGATTTGTGTGAATAAAGCCTGAAAAATTGTACAAGTATTATTAAGCATGCAGTTGAATAAAATCGTCAAGAAGTCGTTTCTTCAAAAGGCGATTGTTTGGTTGATGTGTACAACTGTGTATGCCAAGCATGCCCCCTAGACTGATGCAAATTTTGACATTTTCGCTCCACAGTGCTCATATGGTTCCAAATCGGGTCCTGATTAGTCTCCCAAAATTTGAACTCATTTGCAAAGAAACTGACTTGGCACAAACCATTTGAAGTTTATATGGAAATTACTATGGGAAATCAAAACTTTTTGTTCATTGTCTTCTTACCTTTTTCCATATTGCACTGTTCAAAAATTCAAAAGCTTTACTTATGGAAAATTTTCTCAGCTTCAACTTAGCAGAATATAGTTGTTGAGCCAAACGACAAATAAAATAGTTATTAATTGTTTAAGAGATTGATAATCTTATGGCATGATCAAGCAGCTGTTTTGTGAGCAACACTGTATCTTGCAGTGTGACATAGTAGCCATGATTTTTGTGCTCTATTCCAAGCGCCAGAAACACCAATGTTGCCTGCTGAACAGTTGATTGGCCATAATCGTAAGACATTAGTGGCTTGAATTATTGATAACTTTTGATGCTTACATTATATTGAAAAGTGGTTAAGGACAAAGTTGTAGCTGAGAAAATTTTCTACGAGCTCAGTTATCATTTTTTAAAGCAGAGCGATATGGTAAATTGTATGATGGATATGAACAAAACATTTGGTTTTCCTATAGTAATTTCCATATAAACTTCAAATGGTTTGTGCCAAGTCAGTTTCTTATCGAATGAGTTAAAATTTTGGGAGACTAATCAGGACCTGATTTGGAACCGTTTGAGCACTGTGGATCGAAAATTTCAAAATTTGCATCAGTCTAATGCCCCCCCACCCCTTTATATTACCTCAGGATGGAAGGACTGCCTCCGTTCAAGACCTCTTGTGCTCTTGTACATCTTGTACACCTCGTACCGTATTATTAAACCGTCTCACACGGTGAACCTTTGTTGTCCTCAAAGGCCGCTGGCCTTAATCGTAAAGGAGGGTCCCTTCTAAGCTCGACCAAGGAGACCATGTCACCAACCGGTGAACACTCGTGTTTATTTCAGTTACCGTGTGGACGTAATTTGTGATGAGCCCCGGTCCCTTTCAAATTGTAAATTATTTATGAACGGTCCATATATTTGAAATGACGTTTCTCATTCATCTAGTGATGGCCGATTTTCATTCGAATAATTGATTAATCGATTAACTAACCGAAAAGTAAAATATTTGCAATCGGTTATATCATTCCGATATAAGCATTAACATCTCCAGAGAATCATCACCGGTCGTTTCAAACATGTGCTGCACTCTCATTGGTGGAAAAATGGTAGCACAGCGAACAAAAAAAAAATCGATTAGTTGTTAATCGAGTAATTAAAAAATGGGACACCTCTGATTTTGGTGTGTTTGTTTTGATAAAAATGAGCGCAAAATTTCATCTCTACCGAGGGGGCAGCAAAACCACAAAATTACCTTGAATACGAGGGGTATTCAATGGATGAAAGGGACCGTGAAAGAGGACACTAAAATAGAAAGTTTTTCTTCCGACAGTTTCATCTTAGTATTCATCTTTGATGTCACGGTCAGCCGATTTCGCTAAGGAAGGAAGACGCCTGCCAGCCAAACGAGACAGCAACGCCTGATGGGCCGTTCGTGGTCGAGGATATTCGCCATCCTCTCAATCCAGCAATGAAACCAAAGATGAATACTAAGATGAAACCAAAGATGAATACTAAGATGAAACTGTCGGAAGAAAAACTTTCTATTTTAGTGTCCTCTTTCACGGTCCCTTTCATCCATTGAATACCCCTCGTATTCAAGGTAATTTTGTGGTTTTGCTGCCCCCTCGGTAGAGATGAAATTTTGCGCTCATTTTTATCAAAACAAACACACCAAAATCAGAGGTGTCCCATTTTTTAATTACTCGATTAACAACTAATCGATTTTTTTTTGTTCGCTGTGCTGCCATTTTTCCACCAATGAGAGTGCAGCACATGTTTGAAACGATCGGTGATGATCATCTGGAGAAGTTAATGCTTATATGGGCATGATATAACCGATTGCAAATATTTTACTTTTCGGTTCGTTAATCGATTAATCGATAATTCGAATGAAAATCGGCCATCACTAGATGAATGTGAAACGTCATTTCAAATATATGGACCGTTCATAAATAATTTACAATTTGAAAGGGACCGGGGTTCATCACAAATTACGTCCACACGGTAACTGAAATAAACACGAGTGTTCACCGGTTGTTGAAACGCTGTTTGTAGCCCGTGCCGCAAGTCAAGTCAAACGAGCATGACGTCATCATGTTGTTGTTTGAGGGAGAAGTATTGTAATATGATGAGCACAAAACGCTTTCCACACTCCACATTCCGATTTATTTCGCTCACAACGGAAGAAGGAAAGATAAAGCAAACCCTTCCTCGAGTCATTGTTGCAAAGATTTGCTTTGCACTTCATTTTGAAGTTTTACGCACGAAACAAAAGCAAACTGCACAACGAAGCGCTTTATGATGGCATGAGCTTTTTTCATGGATGCCAGTGAGATCATTTATTTTTCATGGTTGCCAAAACAGTGGTAATAATTCGTGCACAGAAAAATGTCGAGTGGTATTTCGGTTACAAACACCTTTGGTTTCCTTTTTCCGGACAATGCTGCGCAGCCAAAACTGGCTGAGATGGTCCGCTTTGTAAAAGGACTTGCGGGTAACCAGGGAACGATGGATACAACCTACGAAAATGCAGAGGAGAGGATGGTTTATATAAAATACAACTCTGAGGAGGGCATGAGAGAAGCCCTTGTGCAAGTCAATTGATCAAGTCAGTTGAGTTCAACTGACTTGAACGCAAATTGAACGTGTAAACCATGCCATTCAACTGACTTGATCAACTCACTTGAATTGAAAAAAGTTGAGCCAGGCTCAACTTTTCAAGCCAATTTGACCTACCGCCGGAGGTATCCGATCACGATCTGTCGCTGGTGCTTATCAAGAACGGAAAAATCAAACGCTGTGTTCGAGAGAA